ATGGGTCGGCTCGATCGGGGAAGGACCACGCTCTCACAGAATACCAGCGTGAAATAGTACCTTAATGCTGCTGTGTTTCGTCTGGTGAGTGATGGTGAGTGTAGAGACCGGAGACCCTTTTTACTGGAAACGAGGCATTCCATCTTAGTCCTCACGGGTGACAACGCATCTGCATTTTGATTCGTAATCGAGGATATATGTAGATGTCTATGGGCCGCAGTAACTACTTACACATCAGGTGGATTGTGTGCTCGTTTGTCACCCTATCCTATATAAAAAAAATTAAACCGCTTTTCTTCTTGCTTAGTGTCTCAAGTTGAAGCGAAAAGTAGGAAATCGCTCGTCACATCGTATTTGTATGTGATATAACTAATAATTGGCACCTTTTTCTTCAGTAAATAAAATTATAATAAGGTAATATTTTTTTCTTGTTATTTTATAAAAGAAATGTCTTTACATTCTATTTCTAAGTTAAGATTAATACTCTGTACCTTTCATTCCATCACCTGGCAATCATCAAAGAATAAACTCTGTAAATAACGCTAAAATTATAAGAATGAATAGAATACATGACACAATTTTGTATATACATTTACAAAATCATTACTGCATAGAATACTATTTTGCATCTATTTAATTCGTTCTTTTAGTAAACATTGAATTAAAAACTTGAAAATCGCTTAATAGGCAAAGTTTTTGGTTCGGCCACAGGGTCCCGGGTTCGATGCCGGGAATATTGACCCCAAAATTATTGGGTGCGAGAATAACTGACTGCCGAACTCTGAGGAACTCTGGCATTAATTGCCATTGTCTCGTAAGGGCAGCCTTTGACAAAGACCCGGAAAGACTGCTTACTCAAAAAGTCTTTCAGTCTGCTGATCAGACCAGGGGATAAGCCATACAATGAAAGCTTGCGTGTCCGTCTCTGACAAGGGAAACAACAATATTACTAGCCCATTCTTCTATCAAGTCTCACCCCATGTGTGTGACATAAATTGTAAGGTCATAATTCGTCGATTGTCGACCGACTGTGGTAGAACTATTATTAATGCCATTTATTTACATACATATTATATGAGTATACCATTAGGTGGGCGTTTAGTAAACTTGTTGATTATGATTTTATAGAGTATGGATGTAATTGAGATTGGTCGGTAATTGGCAGGCTTAAGGGGGATTTCCCTCAATAGGTCTGTATATGCGTAGTTAGTTATAACATGTGTCGGGTTTTGGGCAATGTACTTGCTATAATCTAATTTACTATATTAGCCGGCACGACGGGAAACATGAGCTGCCAAGTCAATAAACTATACTACGTCCAACGAGAAGCGATACCAAATGTAAATAAAACCGTTGCAAGGTTATTGGGAATAGTAGGGGTGCGTAACTTTTTGATAGTCTTTATATATATATATATATATATATATATATATATATATAAAGACTATCATATGTATATTTATATATATATATATATGTATATATATATATATATATATATATATATATGTATATATATATATATATACATATATATAAATTACGTGTCACGTTGTTTGTCCGCGATGGACTCCTAAACTACTGAACCGATTTTGATCAAATTTGCACACGTGTACAGTTTGGTCCAACTTGAGAGATAGGATAGTTTTTTTGCCCATGAGTGACCCACAATTTTATTTGCGAATTTAAGGATTTTTAATAGGACATGACAAAGGGTCGTCGAAAAGGGCAGAACAACGTCTGTCTGGCAAGCTAGTTAGATAATATATTTAAGTAGACAATATAGTTTTACAAAATGTCTAGCAAACTAAAAAATAGACTTTTTGAAATTTTGTTATTATTTAAATTATTGTATAATGTAGATTTAAATTAAATAAATGCTTTCTGGGCCATCTCTTTTCTGTATCATTATTATTATCATTAGACCAAGTTTCTTTAACATATTTTTAGGTATTAATAATCATATTTTTTGCATTCACCGTAAAACTAGTCACCTAAAATTAAAGATTAAATTAAAATGATACACATACTTTACTTACATGCATCTTTAATAAATTAAGAAAAGTTTTATTGTTACAGTTGCTGTTTTTTAAATAACTTTAAGATAACTTTAAAGTACACTCTGTACGGAAAAAAGTTTTTAATTAATACTCCTAAACAATATTCATATATATTGTTGTATTGGGGGGCCCCCGCCTCCAGCACCCGCATCCCAGAGCCCGGAGGTCCCGTTTTGGTAGAATAATTTGAAGCCTTAAGTCAATGTCAAAGCGTCTAGAAATGAGTATACTAATTTGTACGGAATATATTGACCGCTTTTATCATCTAGTTAAATCGGGCTTTGTAAGCTTGTTTAGATAGAGGTCAGTGTTTGTAAGCCTTTCGGTTCACTACGCAAGTTTCTAAACGAATAGCAATTTTGTCTAGTGATGTAGACGAATTTATGCTATCGATGTTTTGATAATAATTGTTAGTATTATTTTGTATAGTGTTTTTCTGGACTCTTAACGTATTAACGTACCCTTAGCTACTTAAAGTACCTGGTATAATAGGGTTAGAAATCCCACCCCATGCGACAAATACATTTTTCCTTGCGTTCTTAAGCCTAGGTCCACTCCCGCTACTGGGAAAGTTTTTCGTAATAACACTTAACAAGCATGATACCAGACGTCTTCTACTTTTTAAAACTGCAGTGCATCTCCGGTCTGGATATTTTACATCTTATAGCTAATAGGATTGATAGGATAAACGTGGGTCTTTTAATTGCTTGTCACCCTATCTATATTTTTTAATTATTGTATCTGTGGAATATGTAGATCAGGTATGATATGTGTATCTGTTCTCGTGACTGGCAACATCTGCGATACCCTAACAGTTTAGCGATGATTTTATTTACTTATTTTTAATTAACGATGCCACTAAACCTTATAATGTCCGCGTTACGCTTGAGTAATGGGTAGTAAACTAAAAGTAAAGTTATATCCTATGCGTCTTACAGCTGGGCACAGTCCTATCTTTTCTGAGACGTCTATGGACGAAATTATTCTATTCATACATGTAGGGTTCTCCACGATGTGTTCCCATGTTTAAATGCTGAGCACGCGCTAAACCAGTACTTTTTTCTTTGGCACCGGTGGCGATCGAACCCGGATTGGCGTACTGTGTTCACGGCATTGGGCTTTTTTTATAGAATAAGGGTGACAAAGGAACACACAGTCCACCTGATGGTAAGTGGATGCTGTGGCCCATAGACTTCTACATTTATCCTCGATTAATAATCAAAATGCAGATATCGATTGTCAACCCTGAGGATTTAGATGAAATACCTCGTTTCCAGTATAAAGGGTTTTCGGTTCTCTACTCTCACCGTACGAAACACAACAGCGTTAAGATGCTATTTTACGCTGGTATTCTATGGGAGGTAGTCCTACCCCGGTCTAGCCGAGCCATTCGTGCTACCATAATGTGGCTGCAGCGTGGCTCTAACACATAAAACTACCAGGGCTCGTTATGAGTATGCATGAAAATTGCTTAAACGTAGATTTAGGGTCATGATAGTTGATACATTTTAATCGATAATTTAATCAATCAAGAGATTTTATTATAATTTAATCAGGGAATGTTTTAATGAAAATGTTATAATTGCAATTGACATAGCTAATGATCATTAAAAACATATTAATTCATGATTCCAGAGAACGAAGATCATTCTGGAAAAGGTTGACAACGAAATTTAATGGGATAAGTATGTTACGTGAGCAGCTAATACTTGCAGTTTTAGTTTCCATAGCTTTAATTTACGGATTATATCGCGTTTAATTAAATTTTTGTAGTTTTGAATTTTTTAAATTACTTTCATCATCATCTTCATTACAGCCCTTCACAAGTCCACTGCTGAACGTAGGCCTCCCCCAAGTAATGCCACAAAGCGCGGTCCTGAGCCACCTGCGTCCATCGACTTCCTGCATGTCTTACCAGGTCGTCACTCCATCTAGTGGGGGGTCGCCCTACACTACGCCTACCGGTATGAGGCTGTCACTCGAGAACCTTTCTTCCCCATCGGTTATCTGCTTCGAGCTATATGGCCGGCCCATTGCCACTTCAGCTTACTAATCCGTTGGGCTATATCGGTCACTCTGGTTTTACTGAAGATATCCTCATTTCTGAGTCTATCACGCAGAGAAACTCCGAGCATAGCCCTCTCCATAGCTCGCTGAGCGACCTTGAGCGTCCTCATACGGCCAGCAGTGAAGGACCACGTCTCAGATCCGTAATTCATCACTGGCAACACGCACTGGTTGTACACTTAGGTTTTCGGAGATTGAGGTATACCTGACGAGAAGATGTGTCGTAATTTCCCGAACGCTGCCCAGCCGAGTTGAATCCGTTGATTGACCTCTGGTCGAAGTTGGACTTACCTAGTCGGATTAATTACTTTACTCACTTTAATTACTTCATTACCTACTTTTATTCTCATAGCATAATTAATCTTATAGAGGAATTGTAAAATTTTATTTGAGTACAATAATAGTTTTTTAAAATGTTACTTCCACACTAGAATTTCTCATGTAATCGAGTGGGCAATTTACATACATTTCACAGGAACAAAAATCCAGACACGGAACAATTATTTGTAGGCCATAAAAATACTTGTTTTGTGCGGGATTCGTACCCGCGGCCCTTAACGCTGCAACTTATTGCTAAGCCACTGCGCCACGAAGCCGTCTTAGTTCAGTCAATTTCACTTACATTAACTTTTTTTAATGGTTATTCAAATTCTCGTAAAAAATTAAACTACGTGTTTCATTATCATATTATTATTTATTTATCCATGTCGTATTTATTTAAACATATCGATAGTTTATTATGTCGACGGCACTAAAATTGAGCAACATTTTGCATTCTGATAGCGTTTGAATCTTGTTAGAATGACTTGACTTGTGTCAAAATATTTTCCTTCAAGTAATGTCTGTTGGATGGCGCGTGTGATCGCATCGACAATGAATTTCTATTTTTTATTGGAAATGATTTTATTGTGAGTGATTTATCATATATTTTTAATTTATAAACTCAGTTGTATGTAGTGTTGCTATCTTGGTAGATTTATTTATTTTATTTTAAGAACATGATTAATTCGAAGAAATTTATCTCCTATAAATAAAAAGTAATGGCTCTACCACGTAAATCCACGTAATATCCAAGGGAAATGGAGAATCTGGTGCAAAAATTTAATATTAATTTAAGTGAAAAGGGATGGTGTTTGATTATCCTTACAGAGCCGCTCAGTGTATACTCAGCGATAGCAGTCTTTAATTTCTATATTTTTATCACATTGATTTGCTCTTTCTAAATACTTATGATTATATGTGTAACAGAAGAGGTAAGGTTCAATGTTCCTTTCATCCCATCACCGGGCTATCATCAGAAAATATATTCTGTAAATATGTGTAACATTAAGAGGTAAGGTCCAATGTTCCTTTCATCCCATCACCGGGCTATCATCAGAAAATATACTGTGTAAATAACGCTAAAGTTACAGGAATGAATAGAATACATGACACAATTTTGTATATACATTTACAAAGTCATTACTGGATAGAATACTATTTTGCATCTATTTAATTCTTTCTTTTAGTGAACATTAAATTAAAAAAAAACTTGAAAATCGTTTAATAGATAAAGTATTTTCACGTACTTTTTTTGGGTCTCGTAAAGTATAAAGTATGTTTGCCCGAAATAATGTACAATACTTTATTACAATAATAATGTCCTCCAGACCGAATTTAGGCCACGGCGGCCTGCCTCAACTAAGACTAGCCATCGGCAAGCGTAGATGCACTCTCTATTCCCTCACTCTCGTAATCCGATGGGACGGTAAACCGACTTTTTTAAGGCCCCGGGGTATTGGAATTTACACCCTTTTTGCAGTAGGGTCCAAGGGCCCTCCAGCTTTTTTTATGTCTTGAGTCATGCTTTCGGGTTACATCTGGGCCCCCGTCTCCAGCGCCCGCATCCCCAGAGCCCGGAGGTTCCGTTTTGATAGGATAATTTAAAGCCTTAAGTCAATGTCAAAGCGTCTAGAAATGAGTATACTATAAATTTGTACGGAATATATTGACTGCTTTTATCATCTAGTTAATCTCTCAAACTGCAAGCGTCCCGGCGCTAATCCGTCAAACCCCAAGCGGTCGAATTCGACAGCGCACACCCGCACTTTAACCCATAAATACTTACATTTAGATACCACTTTTCTATGAAGAAGTTTGGCATTATAGAATCAATACGAAATTTTAATTTTATTGTGAGTGATTTATTATATATTTTTAATTTATAAACGCAGTTGTGTCTATCTTGGTAGATTTATTTATACTCGGAGAAATTGTACATATATATAATCGGAATCTCGGAAACGGCTCCAACGATTTTCGTAAAATTTAGTGTCCAGGGGGTTTTGGGGGCAATAAACCGATCTAGCTAAGATTCATTTTTAGAAAATGTCGTTTTATCCGTGTTTTCAGGCAATGAAAACTGGTACAATATCGTTAAAATAAGAAGGTAAATTTTACGGCCTATATACGTTAATGATTATAATAGCTCAAATGGGATATCGGGCATTCACGACATTGTAGTACCCTGGTTCGAGTCCGGTCTTCAGCCCGACTTTTTTTCATTTTTTTCAGTTCCCCTCTTTTTTGAGAAAATCTATTATTTCGAGCCCCTTTTTAGCATTTTTAAAAACTTTTACCTGGGACCAATAGTCCGACTAGATAAGTCCAACTTCGGCCGAGAGGTCAATTGTCGGATTCAACTCGGCTGGGCAGCGTTCGAGAGATTACGACACATCTCGTCAGATTGATAAGAGTTGGGACTGTACAACCAGTGCGTGTTGCCACTTGCCAGTGATGAGTTATGTATCTGAGATGTAGTCCTTCACTACTGGCCGTATGAGGAAGCACAAGGTCGCTCAGAGAGCTATGCTCGGGGTTTCTCTGCGTGATAAACTTAGAAATGAGGATATCCGCAGCAGAACCAGAGTAACCGACATAGCCCAACGGATTAGTATCTAAGCTGAAGTGGCAATGGGCGGGCCATGTAGCTCGGAGAACCGACAACCTCATACTGTTAGGCGAAGTGTAGGGTGGCCCCCACTAGATGAAATGACAATCTGGTAAGACATGCAGGAAGTCGATGGATTTAGATGGCTCATTACCATGCTTTGTGATTGGCCTTTTATCGACAGTGGACTTGTTTATTTTTTTATTTATTTAATGACATTCACAGAAAAAAATATTACAGAACAGTTCATTACTTCGCCAAACTGTAAAGACAGTTTGTTGGCGAATAAATGCACTCTTATATCCTATTACATAATTAAATTAAATAAGTACTCAACCCACATAATATTACAAACAACTAGAAATTTAAAACATGAACACTATAAATTCCACACTCTATCAATTCCAAATACAACACCCCACCCACATAACATTGCAACATTGTGAAGGGCTGTTTTCATGATGATGATGAATTAGTTAATAAAGTTAAACAGTTAAATGTTATTAGCTAGGAATAGACATTTCCGCATTAACGCCTTCTCGACTGTTTTGCCTTTCATCGTATAGTTTTGAAACTATCCCGTGTCTGACCGAGATTTAATTTTAAGCGAAAACGGCTGAGGCCTAAATCTAGGTTGAACTTCAGAGCTCCAATGAAATTACAGACTCTTAGGTGCTTTTTTTAACTGAACTAGAGTGACACACGAACTTATGGTTAACCTGATGGTATGTGGCTGCTGTAGTCCGTGGACACACAGGGCCACGAGAACGCTTTTGGATACATCCGCGCCCCACCAACACCGGCCACCACATGGCAGGGATTACCCTTCCCTCTTTGCACCTAAAATTGCAATTAACAATTTCATTGGTGCCCGTGGGGATCGAACTCGGTTTGCTCGCGTACTGTTAAATTTACAGCGAGCACTTACCATCTGGACTACCACTTACCACCAAGGCATTGTATAGTACAATTGCTTTAACATTTGTGAAGTTATTCACCTGGCGAAGAACAAATTCTAGATTTCTATATGCTTTTTGCAGATATTAACTAATTGTATGAATATGAAAATTTAGTCTGGCATCCGCGTGGCAGAATATATCAGAACCATTATAAGCCTAAAAAAGTTTAAAAAGGAAGTAAATACATATTTAACGATTATACGATATGTAGGAAATAGGAATATATAATATAGTATTACTTCGTTAATATTTAACATAACATATATAACATAAACACTCACGCCTGTCACCCAGAGGGGTAGGCAGACTACAGACTTCCATTTGGCGCGATCCTGACACACCTCTCTCGCCTCCTTCACATCCATACACCTACGCATACATGGTACTCCTAATTTGGCCCGTTTTCAATAAAACGCCAATTTGGTCGATAAATTTTCGCCTAGGACGTCCCTTTCCGACTCTGCCATTCTCTTCTGCAACATAAATTTTCTTTGTCACTCTTTCCTCATTCATTCTTTCCACATGACCAAACCACCGAAGCATTCCTTTCTTAATCCTGGTCACAACATCATCTTGCAGACCACACTCTTCTTCTTTTAATATTTAAGTTAATTGTAAATATTCATTACTTGATAACTTTATTAATAATACTATAATTCAAATGTAATAATAATGATTGCCAATATTTGCAGTGCCCTTGCAGAGTTCTTGTTTGGAACTATTTTTATAATTAAGACCATATGTATGCAACAAGAATAACAAATAAATTGAATTCAATTGAATCCATTAGAACACCCAGGTCTCACATTTCTTTAACTCTTTTCATAGGCTTGGCTGTCAACATTATAAGAGGGTGAATAATATTGTCAAGCACTTTGAGGTGTTAAACTGCACCTCGTTCTCCTTACCCCAAGCTCCTTGTAGCACGAATGGGGTCGGCACGACCGGGGAAGGACCACGCTCTCACAGAATACCAGCGTAAATTAGCAGCTTAACGCTGTTGTGTTTAGTATGGTAAGTGTAGAGAATCGGGGACTCTGGTAACTAGAAACGAGGCATTCCATCTTAGTCCTCACGGGTGACAACGCATCTGCGTTTTGATTCTTAATCGAGGATAAATGTAGATGTCTATGGGCCACAGCATCCACTTACCATCAGGTGAACTGTGCGCTCGTTTGTCACCCTTATTCTATGAAAAAATTAAATATCTTTAACTTTACTTTAACTATTTTGTTTTATTATTATTAATAATAGTAATATTCAATTTTAGTTACTTAGCTAATGTACCTATACCTACATAATATTAATTGTTTTGTGGCGCCTGTAATTGGATAATAAGTGATAAGTACCATTTGTAACATACATCTTTGACCTGATTGTGCATTAAGTCACACAATAAATAATCATAGAATGCACCGTCGGTAACTAGCGGCCATAGGTAATTATTTCTCGCAGGTAGCAAGAGTGACAGAAGCCTGATTTAGTAAGCAAATACTTGATTAATTTAACATTAACGTTTTTAACGGAATTCAAAAAAGAGGAGGTAAAGTTACGTCTTACGTCATAACTTTCCCAGGTGAACCGATATTGATGATTCTTTTTATATTTGAAATCTGTTAAGCTGGAAAGCTTCTTTTTTGGTCCTACATAAATTTGATCAAGATCTGACTAGTAGTTTTTAAGTTATCTTTAGATAATAATGCGTATTTAATTGATTTCAGATATTCAGTTGGAGTTAATGCGGGTACAATTATTGGAAACACCGGCATTGATCAAGGTATTTATAACGTACGAAACTAATATTATGTGTACGAAAAATAGCTGGCTATGAGAGAAAGAGAGAAATAAAATGTGCGCGCGCACTGCTCTCTCTTGCTTAATCCCCCACTCAACCGCCGTTCGCCTCGCCCGATCACACTTTTCGTAACGCTTTCGTCACGCGTTCGCCACCTTACTCTCCCAAGTCAAGCGTTAGTAAAGAAGTTTTACTTCAAAAATTAATTTTTGTTCGTATTTTATGTGCTGTAGTGACGGTTTTAGCACTACCCCATATCGTAACGTGGGTGTCGTAAGAGGCGACAGAGGGAGACAGGCAGGAGATGGGCAGCAGCATCTTCCTGATTACAACTCAAAACAATAAAAAACTGCCGTTGCCAGCTCGCCTGGCAAGCGTGGCAACTATGGAAAAGTTACCCCCTATGAGGCAATCATCATCATCAGCCTACACATTCCACTGCTGGGCATAAACCTCTCCCAAGGCGCGCCACTCAGCCCGATCTTCAGCTACACGCATCCAGATTCTACCAGCCGCCTTGCGCAGATCGTCGCGTCGCTTCATCTAGTTAGGGGGACTCACACACTACGTTTGCCTAAACGCGGTCTCCACTCGCTGATTGATTGTCTACTCCATCGGTTTTCAATTCTGCGACAGATAGAGCAACCCGAATGTTTATAATTTTATCACCATACCGTTAATCATATTGCGCTAAAACTTTGTCAACTTATTGCTTGCACTTGCTTGAATGTTATGGGATATTTTTTATAGTTTAAGGGTGACAAACGAGCACACGGTCCACCTGATGTTAAGTGGATGCTGTGGCCCAAGACATTTACATTTATCTTCAATTAAAAATCAATTCAGATGCGTTGCTAGCCCTGAGGACTGAGATGAAGTGCCTCGTTTCCAGCAAAAAGGTTCTCTACAATCACCATACGAAACACAGCAGCATTAAGCTGCTATTCTGTGAGAGCGTGGTCCTTCCCCGGTCGAGCCGACCCATTCGTTCTACAACCACAATATAGCTGCAGCGTAGCTCTACCACGTGCAATTAACTTACAGTAGGTAGCCTGCGTATTATACCGACAAATTTATTAGAAAATTATATATCATTATCTTTCGATGAATTCACTTTCATTCCCAATAAAATAAAATAACTCTTCTTTCTTATTTCTTTTGCGGCAGCAACACGACGGGTATCAGCTAAATATCAGTTAATTTAAGATATTAATAGAAGCTATGGTAAAATAAATAAATAAAAATCAATACTGCCCTTACCACGAATTCCCCTATGAGTTAACACATGGAGGCCTAAGTTCCGCATAAGCTTTCATTACTGCTGCCCTTAAGGCGTTTCCCCTAGCGAACGACTTTGAGCGTTCAGTCCTATACAATCCACGCGCTCCCGCAACAATATATCGCGTAAAAATACACCCGAATTTTTGGAATTATTTCAATTAAAAAGTAAAGTGAACTTAAGAAATTAAATAAAACGTGAATAACATAGATTTTTAAATTGTCTATCCATTAGTGTAATCCTCAAATGATTAGAGCGTTGCCTTTAGCAGCAGATGCATGTAATCAATAATTATAATCATTTTTTAAAAGTAGATTTTAAATGTATTTAAAATCTACTTTTAAAAAACATAAAAATAAATTAGAACGGGGAATGTGATGATAGGATATCGAACATTAATAATGTGCTTTTAGGTGTAGTTTATTTCTTATAACTGATAAGATAATAGTCTCTGAAAAACGCACTTTTGCAAGGTTTCGGTCAGGGTACCGCCTTAGCAAGTCCACTGCTGAACATAGGCCTTCCCCAAGCAATGCAACAATGGGCAACCCTGAGCCGCCTGCATCCGTCGACTTCCTGCATCTTATACCAGGTCGTCGCTCCATCTAGTGCGGGGCCGCCCTACACTACGTCTACCGGTACGTGGCTACTTCGAGCCATATGGCCGGCCTTTTCAGCTTACTGGCCAGTAGGATTTTAAGAGGCTTTATATTATGTATTATAATTATTGATCGGATAATCGGATGTATATTTACCTAAAGTTCATTTTTGGCTAGGAAATTATGGAAGCGGCTTCTTAAAACATATTTATTAAAATATAAATCCCGGGATTCTAGAAAATACGGGAATGTGAAAATAGTCTGCATCATGGTGAAGAGACGTCATCTATAGCATGCGGTATTTATTAAAAAAAACAGGGAGATTAGATAATTAATAATGTGTATCTACTTGAAGTTTATTTTAAGCTCCCTATCAATTTATGAGTATGTTGAGTGTAAGAGGAATAGAAGGTAGTGGGTGTTAATAAAAAAATTAAGAGGAAGTTATTATTTCTATATATATAGTATAAGTTAAAATAGGTAAGTATACCTACACTCGATTTGATTCTATGATAAAACAGAAAATTTGTCGAATCCGAAATCCCGGGATTTTATCGATACAAAAGTGCACCATATTAGCCAACACCTACACTTTAGGTAAATATGTATCCGATTATCCGATCACTAATTATAATTTATAAAAACTATCATAATTACGCGCGGCATTTAAAATGAGAATTTATTTTTAGCTTACCCGCATCATCATAAACATGATTACCATTATAGTTTCTCAGGGTCTACTGCATTTTTTATAAAATAAGAGTGACAAACGAGCACACAGTTCATCTGATGGTAAGTGGATGTTGGGGCCCATAGACATCTACATTTATCCTCGATTAAGAATCAAAATGCAGATGCGTGGTCACCCTTGAGGGCTAAGACGGAATGCCTCATTTCCAATAAAAAGAATCTCTGGTTCTCTACACTCATCACACGAAACACAGCGGCATTGAGCTGCTATTTTACACTAGTATTCTTTGAAAGCGTGGTCCTTCCCCGGCCACCACCCATACAACCAAACCCAACCCATACAACCATAATACTCGGTCACATCGATTTTTTATAACAAATGTTTGCATATTGCAAAAAGGGAGTTTTGCATTAACCTACAGACATAAATAAATAGAATCCCAAAAATGATATCACTTTCTAAAAACTAAATATAAAAATTGCACAGCAAAAACATAATCATATAATTGAATAAAACGATATAATTGTAACGTATCAAGTGATGATGGATACATACGATGACCTTCACACTTGTCCTGGTTCTTGTACTTGAATATAAAGAGCATTCTTATACTCGGTAAATTTAACGATCTAAAATGTGTAATGAAATCTATAAGAACTAAAATACTGTTGCGCGGTATATGGCGGGTGATTATTAGCGCCATCTGGTATCAAGCAGCAGAAATAGCGTCAAGATCTTTCTAGAACAGCGCCATCTAGTATCGAATAGAACTAAGCTTTCTAGAAAACTCCACACTCGAATTTTCTTCATCTTGGCGGTCGGGACCGGTATTTACTGAAACATTATAGATGTTTTAGTGGAAAAGGCCTATATAAAGCCGTTCAAGGCCACGACCGGGGCAGTATTGAATTAGCGATACAAGCTAAGCTTCGGAGCGAAACAAAGTGAACTAAATTGTTAAGTGTGATTAATTATTAGTGTGTATTAGTTTTAATTGGTGTTCGGTAATTAAAGTGTCAATTTTGGTAATTCCGTCGGCAGTTTTTATTGTCACGAACCCTAAGCTCGTAAGAATACATTGTTTCCTACTAACAGAACGGAAACGTGGATAAAAACAAAACTGGATGCTAATTATCACAAATCGCAATTATACACATTGTTTTAACCCACGAACAGATAAGAGAGGAGGAGGCTTTTACATATATATTCACAGCGATCTAATACACAGCCTGAACCAAGAAATGTACATTAATGGCAATAACTTGATACACTGTATAATTTAAACTTAGATATTGTATTGATATATAATCCAAAAGATACCAACTAGTAACATCTTATGAAAGACTTTGAAATACAATTGCAAACAGTAAACGAGCTGTCATATTTGGTAATTTTAACATAAACCTATTAGATAGAGTTAAAACACAACGTACACGTACTACAATTACAACAAACACTATTTTATTTAGATCATATAATTACAAAAATAAAAGACAACAAAATACGTGTAGCAGCTATGTCTGATTATTCGATATCTGACCATAAGCAAATATTTGTTGGGATTGCAAATCCAAAAGAAAATCTTGAATAAATAATGTAAATGTTTTACGAGACCTTTTATAAGTTCGACGATTAGGAGACTTAAAAATAGTAAAGAACTAGATCACAGTAAAATAGAAAAATCAGTGAAAGATGTATTATAGAAAAGCACCAAAAATAAGATAATAATATTAAATCTATCTAAACACGACTAGATAAACAATACGGATCTAGATCTAGATAAATCATACATAGCATTATCCAAAGCAATAAATAGTGGCATAAATTTTGAAAAGAACCCTAAAGTATTAGGTTAGCAAACAACTTTAAAAGGCCATAATTTATTTGTGGTTATCTAAATCTTATGATTTTGATTAGGCTTATGGATGAAAATAACCCCTGGCAAAGTGGTGACCTCTGCCAATACCATGCTATTTCTAATTTGTTTTGTGTTGTTAATTGTGTAACCTTTAAGATAATAAGCGGTTATTACGATATGTGAAATAAGAATAGAAGGGGAGTTGATCGAGCAAGTAGATGAGTTTGTATATTTGGGTTGCGTATTTAGCAGGGATGGGAGATATGATAAGGATATAGAACGACGAGTGAACGCAGGAAACAGAGTAAATGGGGCCCTGCACTCTATTGTGAAGAGTCAAAATGTGTCAAAAAAGGCACGTATGGCAATTCACAATGCTGTGTTGGTCCCTAAATGTATGGTAGTGAAAGTTGGGTATGGCAGAAGAAGCACGAGAGTAGAATAAATGCATTAGAAATGCGGTCGTTAAGGAGTATGTTAGGGCTGAATATGAATGACAGGGTGAAAAATTGTGTGGTAAGAGAAGAGTGTGGTTTGCAAGATGATGTTGTGACC